CATATATATATATTTTTTTTCATAGCGAAATATAGGAAAACCTAAAACACATAGGAATTGGATCTAGGCTCTGCTACCATGATAGATCTTGGAGGAAACCTTAGTAGTGGAATAGTTTCTCTCAGTTTTATTCATTAGTCAATAAGCTTATTTATACGAAATTCTAACTTGTCTAACAAGTTATTTACATTTACAGAATAAAAAATATAACTTATACACAAATATTAACTTTCCTAATATTTTCAATATTGACAATCTTCTGGAAATCTTCCTTATTTCCATAATGTTGATTGGCTATCTTGACCGTTCAATCTCGGTCGATCTCGATCTCCCAATATCTATGTCAACCAGCCACCGCCACTCATCCTCACTCCCTTGATTTTGTCCACCGTGCCTCCGACCGCATTTCGTCCTCTCTCTTTTTCTTATCTCAGCCTCTCAACAAATCCCACAAATCTGATTCCGCCGCCGTGACCAGCGTTTCGTTTTCGTCGACTTCGAGAGTTCRCGGCYGAAGAACCCTCCGAGTTAAATCTGGGCTTATCGATCCCGACGGTGGGAAGCTAGTGGAGCTTGTGGTGTCAGAGCCGCGACGAAGGGAGAAGAAACACGAAGCGGCAGATTTGCCGAGAGTGAGATTGASRACGATCGATTTACAATGGATGCACGTTTTGAGTGAAGGTTGGGCAAATCCACTTCGTGGGTTTATGAGGGAATCTTAGTTCCTCCAAAGTCTTCACTTTAATTCACTTCGTCTTGATGATGGATCCGTCGTTAACATGTCTGTACCAATCGTTCTCGCAATGGATGATGAGCAAAAAGTCCTAATCGGAGAATCGAAACGAGTCACACTTGTTGATTCCATTGATAATCCCATCGCTATTCTCAGCGAGTAAGTTACTCTTGAATCTCATTAGGTTGCTAAATCAATTGAAATGGTAGTTGCATAGGATTGAGGAATCAAGCTTAGGTTTTGTTAGTTTCGTTGTTGCTTAGAAAGATCATTTGATAGAGAGAATTGTTGAGTCTTTGAATATGAGGTTTCTTGTATCTGTCTCTGTTTCCTTTAGTTTTGTTGTTCTAAAGATGTCATCTTTTTGATTGAGATCAAAGGRGTATGACTCTATCAGATCTAGCCTTTTCGGAYAKATTTTCCGGCGCTGGGAACTGGARAAAATGTCTTTATGCTGAAGGAGACGAATTGATTGATCTTTCCAGGAAAGAGCAAGAGAATTGTAGAGTAACAGAGTAAGAYAGACTCATGCTTCCTTTCCATATTTCTTTCTCACTTGAGTTTAACTTCGAATTGTCTAGAGTTGTGATTTTGTTGTTCGTGTTTCTGAAACCATTCAAYAGATTTATTGTTTCTATCTCACCGAAAGCATTAGGGCATATATGCTGCTAGTTAAGCTTGAAACTCTAAAGGCAACAACATATAACTTTTCACCAGAACAAAGAATTAGGACGTGGTAATCATGTATTTGTCAAGGTCTTGTAGATAYCATCTTGTATGTAATAATGTAGGGATTACCAACAAAAACTTTGAGAGTTTTGAATGTAACTAGTACACATTTCATACATATACATGAAAAGAAAGAAATTGTAAWKTCTAGTTTCTTGTCTTAACAATTTCATACTGATGATGGAATTATTCTTGTTGTCTTTCAGTTAGAACAACACCCTTGACTAGTAAGATTGAACGTGCAAAGGTTATTAAGGCAAACAGAGTTGTGATTGGTGGTTCACTTTGGCTCAAGGCTGTATACATTGGAGTCATCATCACCAGTCGTATCTTCTACCTCTATGTCAGCTATTGGACATGGAAATTCTCAAATCTCTTGGTACTTTATATTTTTAGCCTCTTTGTCATATCTTTTAGCCTCTTATAACTGTGCCCATGATACAGAAAATACTAATGATGCTTGAGGAATCCATTTTGGTGCACACATCATGTTTCTAATCTTAAACACGYTTTACAGATATCATACTTAACTCTAAGATGTTGGAGGTTGTAGCTGGATCGGTGTTCCTGAAACCAGACTCTTAACGAACCTAAGATTGCTGGTAAACATAATTTAATACTTGAGTTTAACTTGTTTGGTCCCATCCACYGTATACAAATGTCATACRTCTTAYTTTGKGTTCTTTCTTGTGTCTAARTGYTTTCRGGAAGWTTATTTGGTCGATTTCTRGCTTGTTGCTTGAAGCTTTGTCAATTTGAGGTGTACAATGGTATTGGGATGCTATMTATAACGTTGCAGCAACCAAGAGAAGTGAAGCATCAGTTTTTCA